CAATAACAGTATCAACAGCTTCTTGACAAGTTTAAAATTTCTTTAAAATACATTCAAAATGTTTGAAAATAAACTACAAAAATTAATTTAAAATGCAAATTAAAATATAGTTGTATCTGCAACTGTATTTGATAAAGTTTTGAACTTTTAAAATATTACATGGTAAAAACAGAAGCTGCTAGTGACAAATTTAGTGACAAAATTAGTGACAAACTTTGTTTTTTTTTTGATGAGTTACTTTCATTTTTGCTTCTACTTTTCATTCAAATAGGTTTTCATTCTCGACAGGTTTCTAAGTTTCTTCTACATATTAAAAAATATGAAAAAAATGGAGTGGCGCACTACTGCTACTAGAGGAGAGAAATTCTATTGCACCTTATTCAAAAATAAAATGCGATCCCACGGCCCTCTGCAGCCCAAAGTTTAAAACTGTTGTTCTTTTGAGGCGAGCTGTGGCCATAGGTTATGAATCTTGGCTCTAATCCATTCGTTTATATAAGGTTTGAGCAGAAAAACACCTAAAACCTGCAGGATACTGGTCCTCAAGTACCAGTATTAGACACCCCTTGACAGTTGACTCAGAAGTCCTTTTGACTCAAGAGTCTCCAAACTGAGACTGTTCAAAAAGCCATGTGCAACAGGTAAGATGTTCATAACTTTTACACAGAACGTCATTTCAAAATGTCAGAAAAAAAAAGCTGTTGTATCAGGTGAAAAATGCTAAACTCTTTGGTCTGTGTTAAATTCTGTCTTTTAACTTTCCAACATTTCTTTTTCTTGAGACTCTTGCTCTGCACATCTGCAAATGTTAAATTTTATCCTGCAGCCACCTCACCACTGTGACGTTGGTCTGCATTTAACACTAACACTATGAACACATGCACTTTTATTTTATTTATTTATTTATTGTGTGATTTTAACACACTAGCTTCAGTTGCAGCCTTTTTGCAGCAAAGACTACCTTCCTGGGGGTTAGGGCTGAGGGGATGAAGGAATCATTTATTCATTTAGTCTAAAGTAAATAAAACATCTTAGATGAAAAGTTGTTACATTTAATCAAACTGCCCTGTTTAGGTTAGAGTTACCCTTTTATTTTACAACACATTCCTTGCTTAAAATGTCTGTCTCCTTGTGTTAACTGTCCCCTGTTTTTCCACCTCTTCTCTTCCAGTTTTGGTTCTTGTAATGGGCAAAGAAGGGGTCCATGGAGGCGGCTTGAATAAGAAGGCTTACTCAATGGCAAAGTACTTAAGGGATTCAGGGTTTTAATGTTTTCAAGCTTGCGTAGATAAAAATCGAGGGACAAAAAGAAGAGAAAAGTATTGCTGTTAAGATTTCTCCTACAAGCTGTCAAATGTCTTGGAAACTTTTAATAGCAGTGACGAGTGGTAAGATGCTGTCACCTTCGTTTCCCCCCACCCCCTTCATCCTGCACAGGGGGTGGGGTGGGGGAAGGCTCTTCAGTTTGGTTCATTTCTCTCCTTTTTTTTTTTTTCTTTTTGTTGTCCCCCTGTGTGCTCCAGTATTGGTTTTAGTCATGGGAAAGGAGGCGATCCATGGTGGAGGTCTGAACAAGAAAGCACACACAATGGCTGAATACCTGAGGAAGTCTGGATATTAAGCCCCTCCGCCACCCCTCATCCTCGCAGCCCACCCTTTACGATGTGTTGACACTACTTCTGGGACACGGTGGCATGCAGCGGTACTTACCCAGTCTACTTTCATCCACAGCCTTTTGTTGGCCCACTTTACCATTGTGCTTCTCATGGTTCTGATACTACAGTTATGGTATGTTCATTGAGATGTTTATTAACCAGACGTGTTCAAAAGTTAAAGTTAAACAAATTTGYACTGGCTTTACACTTAACATCAGCAGGCTCCAGGAGGGGAAATGTTACGGTGGTCTCAGTTCGAAAATGTTTGCCTTTTTTTGATCATTATTCCAATTGGCACCTGTTCCCTCTGCCTAGTGTCGTAGCCAAAACCTTTAACTTTTCAGTGTTTGCCTCCCTCATCGGTAAATCATGGTTTCAGTAAAGAAACCAGACTTGTCCTGAAGTCTTGAAGTGCAGTAGATTCTGCTGTTGAATGTGATCTCAGTTCTAAAGTCAGCGTTACAGAAACTCATCCCATCCTGAAGTCTCAGTGGACATCCCATCTCTGATGGCTCCAACACACCAGTTCTCTTCTGCTGTTTTTTTTATTTTTCTGTAAATCTCGACACACTTGTAAGTTTTTCCCGCCCCGTTCGGACCAATTTGCATTTGAAGAGGCTTACCAGAGTTCCTTCAGCTCCTTGTAGAGACGTGTTGTCTGTAAACCACTGAGACGACTTCAGACAGCTGTGCAACATGTAACTGCTTCTTTAGACTGCAACACTAAAATGTTTCTTTTGTCACGAGAACATCATTAGTTACTAAAACAGTGTCATTTATTTTTTATTACCCCCCAACAGTATGAATGCGTTGACTGTAAACCAAGGCTGCTGGGCTCCAACACCTTGGGTTTATTTGCCTTGTGCTTTTAGTCATCAAAGGTGTATTCTCAAATCGTCATAGTATGGTACTTTAGAAAAAAAAACTATTTAAATGATGCTGTGTACACTAAACATATTGAAAATGGTGTTGGTTGGAATAAGAACATTTGTAAGTTGTCTTGTGAAATTTTTCTGAGAATAACTGTGTATTTTGTGCCATAAAAATTAATATCTGATCCACTTATGAGTTGGAATTTATATCTGCTGCCCCGGCAAGAAATAACTTTTAATGGCACCTTCTGAAGGGATATTTTATCGTCCATGATCTCGGATCTCCAGACTTTGTGGAATATGTCCAAAATTAAAAAGAAAAAAAAAAAAACAATTAAAAGTTTGCAATATCTTGTCGTCTTTTGAGATTTTTCCGTCATTTCAGTTGCCATGAATACGTCTTGTTTCAGGTGAAATAAAAATCGATCCAACCAGAGGTAAATCCAGTTTGTCCCGTCCGTTTGGACTCGTACCAYCGTCTAATCTAGCCTTTAATAGTTTTAAAGTTTATAACAATTGTTTCCAGATGGTTCAAAAAGATTAAACTTATAAAAACTAAAAATCTTCCAAGTTTAACGCAAAATATTAGCCTGATATTTTAGATAAGTGGAAAACTTTAATTTTAAGTAGGAATAGCTTCAAACCACTAAAAGAAAAATCTGAAAAACAAGCTAAATGCATTGATATGCATCAAGTTGTTGTGGAACAAACTAAAACTTTGCAGGACTTCTATAAAAGATTTTTTGGTATAAATTTTTAATTCTTTAATGGAAAAAATGGGGATGGGTTAAAGTTGATGCTCCCACTTTGTTTACTTTGTAAATTTGATCCCAATTATAGTCTTAATCAGAAATAGAAATTAGTCCTATGAATCAGTTGACTCTGAAATTTGAGTTGTGACACTTTGTGTGTGTGCAGATTGGGAGTATCATATAACAGTGTTTTGGTCAAACCTTATGTTCTGCATGATTTCAGGAGATAAGAGACCTGTTAACTCAGTTGACTTGGCTGCTACCYCCTCAGATTTCAGCTCCACCTGTTTAAACAGTTAAAAATGGTAATGAATAAACTGACAGGTGTTTCCTTATCAATATGCTCCCTATACATTAAGCTCTGTACTTTATTTTTTTAGTATAAATGTAAACAAAAAAATGAAAACGTCAGAAAAATCCTTTACGGAACATAAGTGAACTCAAACATGGTATGTTCTGCTTCTCTGGTGAAACACTGGGCCTGGTTACACCTGCCTTGGTGGTGTGGTAGCACTGTCCCTACTTGTGCTAGCTTTGCTCTTGTATTTGTTAATCCAAGCTCTAATAACCATTTTTGGCTTAAAGTGTCATTACCTCAAAGTACCATTTATTAGCCTACAGCACCCTCTGCTGATTGTCTTGGGTCAATTACATAGGTTATTTTTTTACACAAAGACAGTGAGGTGAGAGTCAGTGAGACATGGACTTTTTAGCTAGTTGAAAAATGATGACTTCAGCAAGTAATAAAGTAATTTATTTCTTCTTACTGTCATAAATAAATATTTACCAGTCAACACTTATAAAATGTTCTCTGGTTATAGGATGAAACTTGTCTCTATTAGCTAAC